TCTTTGACCACCAAGAGCTAAGGGTGACAATCGTCTAATGCCTCCTTACCATATCACCTCTGAATTTTACATTAAGGTCAAAAGAATGAAGGAAATGATCACCAACTTAAAAAGCTCTTGATTGTAAGACAAATTCTCCTTGTCAGCACCTCAGGGAATGTACAGAGAACAGTATGGAGAATATGCATACTGATGTACATGTTGAGTTGTAAAAAGGTTCAAGATAGCTAATCGTAAAAAAACTTCTATTGATTAGGGTAATTAGGTGTAGCTACAGTGATAGGCATGTATCTTGCAAAGATTTACCTATATTATGAACTACAAAATTCCAACTAGTAACTGTAATGGAAAAAAAACTGACTTGTCAGCAATGATATTTCAATGAATTGCTAGCCAGCTCACACTCTAAAATCTGACTGAACAGAAATGTGCACGTAGTTTTATCAGGGCAAGAAAAGTCACCTCTCTGCCAGGGTAAGAAATTTCTTACCCTGGACTATCAGTCAAAGTTTGCTTTTTCTCCTGTACTAATTTAACTTGAGAGTATTTTTCTCTCTCTCTCTTTTTTTTTTTTTTAAAATATAGAAGCTGATACAGGTGGTGCTGAGCCTGTGAGGGTAAATCAAGATCGAAAACAAGACAATGAATCAGCAGATCCACAAGCAACAGGTACAATTGTGCACAGTTTATGCAGACAGGGCTGTTAATCCTTTAACTCCAAAAGTGATTGACATGCAACTTCTCCCTATAATATCCATACATTATCCAGTAAACAGGTAACGAGAAAAATAAAACTTATCAGGCGAGGTTATGATGATCTAACACTAAATTCTCACAACTGATTTACAAGGAAATATGTAGCAGCTAAATAGGAGAATTCACAATCAGGTCTTGGGAGTTACAGGGTTAAAAGGAAATTGTTGAATATTGATCAAATCAAAATGGTAATGGTGAATAATACTTGTATCATAAGGTAGAAACAGCAGAAACAATTTCTCCCATAAAATCTTGTGAGAAATATCACTAAATATTTTCTTGAAAACATCTTTGAAATATTGGTTGAAAACATTTTTGAAATATTGGTTGAAAACATTTTTGAAATATTGGTTGAAAACATTGCATAGTTTATGATGAATTCATATCTAAATTGCCATCTTACACGTGTTTTTTGCTAATTATTATATATTTATTTATTTGTATTATTTACTTGCAATACTTAGCCTTGCATAAGATAAAACATAACATACAATACCAACTGTACTTACATTACTAATATAAATGTACAATACTTAAAGTATTAATATTAACTACAATAATGACAAGAACAAGAGCAAGATAATTTATTGTAACAGTTACAATTTATTTTAACAATGCACGGTTAACTCCCAGAAAAAAAAAAAGAACATTACTTCACGGGCACCATTAAATTTACAGTTCTTCTCGCATTATCAATATGTGTATGTGAGTGCAAGGATAAATTGATAGAGAGAGAACAAACAACAACAACAACAACAACAACAATAAATAAAATAAAACTAAATGAATAAGGGAAAGGTTGAAGATGGCGCAGCAGTAGCGTGCATTGCAGGCGTCTTTCTAGGGCGAGTTAACGACAAGAAGCGTCGATCGGCCATATTTAATTTGGTGTCAGTCACTCCCCCACCCAAGCCCCTCTCCTCATTTTTGACTGCCACTCACCCCCTTAGTACGTGCAAATTTCTTTCTCTCCCCAGGCTTGCGCTGCCATTAAAATCAAAGATGGTGGCCATATTTCGCTAAGAAAATACTGAGCACGCGCTCGCCCAAGCTACGCCTGCTCAGCAGGCTAATGCAGCAGTTAAAATTTTAATGTAACCTTTTAATTTTCCATTGCATTTCTAGTGTTTGCTGATATTCTTTTTCAGGTTTTAGTGGTGTATCATAATAGACTTTGACTTTTATGATTGCTCTTATGAAATCTTAAAAACATTCCAAGCGGTAAGGATTTCTAACTTAACCACACGTCTTAACAGAAATGTGATCTGGTTCATTCTAGGAAGTTCTGTGGCTTTTGAGAAACCTTCCAGTAGCTCCAGCTCTGCCTGGTCAACACCAACAGCTTCAAGCTCCACAGACCAACCAACATCTTCTACCTCAACGATTGCGTCATCTATTATCCCTCCAAAGGCAACCATCTACACCAACCCCACTGGAAAGAAAGGTGACCCATCAATGCTATTCCCTGTCAGTAAAGGTTCCCCATTGTTCTTAGTTCCTATTGAAAAAATCTCCCCTAAACTGATAGAGAAGTTCATTCAAGAAGCAAACAAGGAAGGTGTTAAAACCCGCAGCAGTGACAAGAACAGAGGAAAACAGCCGAGACAGACAAATAAACAAAAACAAGGTTCGCAAGTCCTTCTCTTAGTTCCGTCATCCATCCCAAACACCAGTCCAACAATCCAAACACTGACATCATCTGAGCAGTTGGAGGGTACCGGAGACAAGAAGCCACTGCTGCTTCTTCCAGCAGACAAGGTGCCCAAGACGATTGCCAACCAATCACAGACTGTGCGGCGGAAAATGGTGATTACCATGATAGCACAGACAAGTAGCGCACAGTCTTCGGCGATATCAGCACCAACTGTAACAGCCACAAGTACAACAGGTAGCTTTTGATTACGTTCTCAGAAATAAACCCTTTACGCCCTCGCATCAGTAAGCATGTTCTCCGTACTGTTCTTTATACATTTCCTAAATTGCTGACAAAGAGAATTTGTTTAAAAGTCAAGAACTTCTTTGATTGATGATCATTTCCTTTATTCGTGTGACCTCAATGTGTGATTCAGGGGTGAAATGGGAAAGAGAAATTAGATGGTAGTCACTCTTTTGATTAAAGTGTATTATATGACACATTTTTTTTAAGTTTTTTCCTTTCTTGATTTATGTAATAAATGAAAAATGTTTCGATAATGCGAAAAAAAATAATTTGGATGATTTTTTGCGGCCGAAATACCGCCAATTTCCAGATAAAAGTGTCCCAGGAAACTGGGGACGATAATTGTGCTTGTTACGCCACAGTGTTTGATAACATTGCTGTCGCGCGCAGGCGCCTCCTTATTTCTCTTGCTCGCGGCTTCGAATGTGCGAGTGATTAACGCTAATTTTCGACCCGCACTGTTTATTTGATGATGTCTAGCGATTCGGAAAGTAGTGAGACTTTGGATTCTTCAGAAAGTAGAGATGAAAGCGAAGATGGTTTGCTTATCAAGCACAGTGACGTCACAGACGTATATCATGTGACATTTTGGCCGCACGATTTCTGGGACAATTTCAACATGAAAGTAGCGCGCATTTTGAACGAAAAAAGGGGTTTCATAATATTCTCAAGATCTAAAAACTTTGCATTCGTTTTTCTTACATTAGTTAGATTAAGCACCGCGAAAACGGCGAACGCTGAACGTCGGCTTGTCGTTTGCCGTTCCGTCCGCGACGTTCGTCTGTTTAAGCTTCCCGACGACACGGCAGAACAAGTGTTCTCGGTCGCCATTCACTGCGACTAGAAATAATGGATACAAAGAAGTAATGTATTTTCCGCTTGGATTTGAACTCTATTAGCTTTACAAGCAGTTAATATAGAAGTTCATCAGAATCCGTTGCAATTTTCAAGAAGAAGCTTAAAACATACTTGTTCAAAGATGCTTTTTAATTTACTATTTTTTATAATTTAATTGCTATGTTAATTAGTCTATATTTTTGTAAAGCGCTACGGAGAACTAGTCGAGCTTAGCGCTACATAAATGCTTTTTATTATTATTATAAGATGATAAACGAAGCTTAGCTCTAAAAGCAAGCGATCAAAATGTAGAAATAGTCGGTAAAAATGGGCTGCAAATACTCACGTTTTCGCGTTCCCTACAAACGGGGAAAATGTCCTCCGAGTAAAAACGGCGGCCGGCAAACGGCAAACGCGGGAAATATCAGGTCACGTGACCCTCTCTGCCGTTCGCGAGAAAAAAATACGTGGTGCTTAATCTCTCTATTATCAACGACCAGAATCTGCGGGAAAAAAAAATGTGTCATATACACTTTAAGAGTCACGGAGCCAAAATCAAAATACTCATTACAGCCAATCAAAACGAACAAAGAAATATAAGAGCTGAATACACAAAGAGCTGGTGAGGTTTAAAGCACGGGAAAAACCCGCGTGGCCAAGGCGGATTTCGTTTAGTTTAGCTTCAGATTGGTCGACAGGGTGGCGTGACTTTTCTGAAGTAATCCTTCGGCGTAGCAGATCAAAACCTAAAGCGGTTTTGGGTTACTTACGGTGCCCAATTAAAAATTGTGCCATACTAATAACGTCTCTTTACTCGCTCACAAGGAAACTCACAAAGGATGGAAGTGATAATTTTGAATCAGATCTCGGACATTGGCAGCGTTTTTCTAACAAGAAATGGATTTTATATCAGTGACTATAGATACATGGGGCTTAAAGAGCATGTGGCTTGTTTTATCTGTTCATCTTGTATTCAATTAGGTGGTCAGTCAAGTTCTCCTACGTCTGCCATCCGGTCAGTTAAAGGACCAATCATGAGCACCCAAGAAGGGAAAAGTAACACGACCTCAACCGATGGAAACAGGGACAGCAGCGTATTATCATCAGCGAGCACTGATGCTGGTAAGTCAGTGGAAGATTTAACCTCGGTTGTTAATAACACGTCAGCGCTTAATTCACCTGTGAAAGAACGTTTGTCCACCAGTGTGTCAGGGTCAAACCAATCAACCTCCCAAGCTAAACTGTTGTGTAAGTCTCGAAGTGCGGCATCGGCGACACCCTTGACCGAGACTAATGTTGATGAAAACCACCCGCTCGCCTGTAGTTCAGATTTTGATCTGTCAGAGTCGAGTGTGCTACCAAGTGATACAGTACCAGATGAAATATTGAAAGACATGAGCGGAGATGGTACCGGCAGTGATGCAAATGTCATGCCATCCCTTGACCTGTCGGGAATTATCAGCAGCTTCGGAGAAATGCCAGCACAAACGGGCAGTAACACGGCAGTCAGTGCGTCACACAGGGACACCGCTAGTGCCGTGGGTCGATCTGCAGACAGTCAGATACCAAGCATTATTCGGGGGAAGCCGTATCTTCAGGACGACGACCTCAGCTATACTACTACCCGGCGGCAGTCCCGAAGGAGAACTCCTGCGCCTCCAAAGCCAGCTTCGAGAAGCTCGTCAAGGGATCCATCGGACACAGATGGTGAAGGTGAAACAAGCGGAAGTTCTAGTCATGATTACAGCTTGAGAAAAACGTCGTCACCTTTTTCATCAGGTATGTTTGTTTTCTATGCTTATACAGTTGTAGTTTTGAGGTATCGTGGGCCAGAAAGTGGAAGCAGCGAATTGGAGAGCAGTAGAACCACCTCCACGCGAGCGGTCAAAGTTCTTTTACACCTTGTAACAAAATTGTCTTCTTCGTCAGGATATCGTCACGCTCACTATGCTACATAATTGGCCGCGTTCTCTGTCTAACAGCCTTAAGTTTCTATGTCGCTTGTAAGCCGTCATCGTAGAAAACCCTAACACTTGTTTATTGGGTACAACTGTTGGTGTTGTTACCTGTAGTATTTTTTTACACCAATTACCGGGAGGTTTCGCCCATTGTAAGTTAGCTCCCTAACGGTGACCATTTCGGTCCATTCACGACGACGGGACGAAGTTGTAGCGAGCAAACTTACATTGGAGCGGAACCACCGTAAGCTGCAACAGCAAACGAACACGAATTTGTTTTGTCCGCCCAAGGCAAGTGTTTCCATATGGGAACGGAGTGTTAAGAGACTCGTGTGTTGTACGATCGTGATCGAGTAACTCACTTGCTCCCATTCATAGTTGTCGCATTTTTTTTTTTTTTTTTTTTTTTATAATTTGCTACTAAGGTGCCTCAAAAGACGATTCAGACGCAGATGAAGGAAGCCCCGTAAGGAAGCGCCGAAGGGTTCCCACTCGAACAAATCCAAAGTCCTCTCTTCAAGTAACGTTTGTTTCTGACCGTGGTATCCCTGCCAAAGTGTCCCACACTTCTCCTGCTAGAACCAAAGGGAAAAAACATTGAAAGAAAAAAAAACGAAGACTTGGTCATCGCTGGGCTCTGCGAGTATGACTTAAAAGCTTTGACACTCTTACAGTTGCTTTGGATTTTTTTATAATGCTGTATATTGTGCCTTATACCGTACACCCCTACATTAGCGAGCTGCAGTATATTCTTTTGATTACTATTGAGAGGTTCTAGCTTTTAGATCAAGAGTAAAACATGGGCGTGTGAATATCTATTGATGTACTGTTTGTTATTATCTTCGTGGAGGTCTGCTGCTTAATTTTTTCCTTGGACCGCTATACAGAGCCTCGATATTTTGCAGAAAGGAGACTGGACTCATTAATCTCTCAGAAGTCAGAAGAATGGAAGAGATTTGTTGCTAGGCAACGTTATGTAGTGACTAGTGAGGTCACGTTGACGTCACTCTCCGTTTATAACTTTCGTAAATGATGGATAAAAAGAAAACCAAACACAACGAATATATGAAATTCGTGCACAAACACGTTTAAAAATAAAACCATCACACACTCTTTACTTCTCCAGGAATATTTTACTACTTGCTTTCCTAAGGACGATATTGGACGTCTGGATCGCTTTAGAAGTGTTGATGATGGATTTGCTGGCAATAGATTGTGGTATATTAGGATAATTAGAGGTATCGGCTATTTCCGAATTTTCTTAGGCCTCCTTCTCAAAAGGAGGCTTGGTGCTCAGTCATTCTTGTGAAAATGAGTTTAATTTGCATGAGAATGAAAATTTACTATCCAATGAAAAGGATGTCCTCCAGGACTCGCTTTGAGAAAGAGGCCAAGGGTTGTTCGGAAATGGGCTATTAGTTTTTTTTATATTTACTGTTGATATCATACATTCGAGACACTTCGCTGGACTGTGAACATGTTAGTTGAGGATTGTGCGTTAAGAAGGGTTTTCAATTGATTGTCGAAGAACCAAAAACAGTCAACAAAATTATCAGCCAATGAGAACTCAGATTAAAACAAGGCAAACTGCTTGAAGCGCTAGCGACCAAGTCGCGGTTGGATTAAGTTTGGCATCTGATTGGTTCGAAGGGAGGCGCGAGTTTCCAAGATGAATTACAGAAATAATTAAAGTAAAAAAAAAGAGTATGCCAAAGCATTGAGAATTGGTTTACTTGATTACTTTCGATACCCAATTGAGAACCGCTCTGTTGTATTTGCTGATGGTAACCTCGCTCTTAGCTCCAATATATAATCTACTTTTTTGTGTTCTTGTTTATTCGTCCGTCGTTTTATTTTCATGGTAACATTTGAAGTAATTTCCCTCTCTAACTACCTCATTTGAATCACCTCGAACTTGGAGAGAATACACGCTTCCTCCGAAGCAACTTGAGTAAACGACACAAAAATATTAGAATGAATCACAACCTTTTTTGCGAGGAAGAGAGTCTGTGCTCTGATACGCAAGTGTTATTTCAGTAGAAGAATGTTATTTTCAGCAATTTGCCGTCTCAGTCCTCATTCATGCTGTTTGTACCCTGTAACTCCCGAGATTTGATTGCTAATTCTCCCCTCTAGCTGCTACACATTTCCTTTTAAAATGGTTTTGAGAATTTGGTGTTCAATTAAGGTAACAATTTCTACCTGACAAGTTTGAGTATTCTCATTACCTGTTTGCTGGATAATGTATGGATATTATAGGGAGAAGTTACATGTTAATCACTTCTGGGAGTTAAAGAGTCAATAGCCAAACTTCCTTTTATCGTTTAATGTATAGATGCTCTTTGTGGGTTGTTTGACTCAGCATACTATAATTTCGTGTGTTGTACTTTAATTAGTGTGAGGCTTTCGTGATTTTATTAAACGAAAGTTTGGATGACAGGTTCTCTTTGCTATCGAATCAGTTACAGACACCCCGTAGGTCATTGGACTTGCTTGCAATCAGGAAAGTGGGTGGGATTTTTTTGCACCAACAGTCGCAAATATACTCCTTCTCTAGAATACAAAGGAAATCTCCCGGTCTTTCGTCCGTATAGTTGAGGACATGAATATCTCCCTGGAAGACGTAAATTTGGATTTTCTTTTTCAGTAAAGGAGGAGAGAAAAGTAAATTTAAGGGTTATTGAAAATGATTGGCTTCCGTTTCCAAGATTACCCGAGTATTTGATTTTGTCTTGTTTTTGGTTTGTTTGTTTTTTCTCTTTTAAGTCTGTCTTTTCTTATTTGGATTTTGAGAGTCCAGTTTACTGAACCGAGGCGGTCAATTCTCCAATATATGAATGGGAAGGAAATGAGGAACATGATTCAAAAACAAATATCTCCATCTTTCAGCAGAACTCTAAACGTTTTCACTTCCGGGTCGCCAGCAAAGAAGGGACTTTGACACCGCATGGGAGTGTTGAAGGCTTGATCATTTTTTGGTCGGTAGAAATCTTATCTTGTAAGAAACCGATTATCTAAAACGATCAGTCATCCAGCTAACTAGCCACTTGCCTGGTGCAGACTTCTGTTTCCTTTACTTCGCACGGAATAGTTGTCGCCAATTGCTCTCGGGAACCACACTGTTTCTCTGGAGTTCTGGTACAGCGCTCTAACAATGCACTTGATACTTAGGTTACGGGCTTAGAGCATTAGCGTGCGAGCTGTATAGTATTCAAATGGCGGTAAACACTCTGCAAAACTTTAGTGGTATTAAACATCAAGGCGGAACAAATATGGGTCAACTTTCTCAGCTTGTATCCTGTAGTAAAGTCGTGTATCACAAGCTGACAACTTTCGGCCCGCACAAATTTATTTAAAACTTCTTGGTGCCCATGAAAGAATTCATATTAAAACGAGCAAACTGCCTGAGGCGCGGCGAAATCTAAGCGACCAATGGCGATTGGTCTATTTAATATTTTTTACAATTTGTTTAGAAAGTGGCGCAAGTTTTTTGGAACAATCACAGAGCGAGGTTAACCAATGCCATGCCGGATAACTTTAGACGCTGAAAATTGCTCTCAAAAAAATTGCTGGACAATCGTTCGGTTATAATTAAAAAAAAAAAAACTACTTTAAATCGTACGAAAAGAGACTACAATATATCATTCTTTAAGATTTAACTTGAATAACGTCGAATGTTAAAACTTGAACCTTTGATTGAAAATCGGATAGATATCCACTACACTCTTGGCATCAAAATGCCGTTTTTGCGCAAAAGAACACCGTGAGAAATACATAGTCGACTGTACCCACTAATCGAGCCAACACATTTATTATTATGACATAACCAAAGTAAAGCGCGCGCTCTGATTGGTCA